TTGTCACTAGAGAGAGAAGGGCTGTTTTCTCTCATGCTTAGCTTCCCTTCTCAGCACAGTGGACAGTCTGGAAAAATCATTAGGAAAAAACCGTATCTGTGGCTCTACATAAATGTGACTAGTTCATTGTATTTATGTCGTCACTTCATTCAAGAATCTCACAGTGCTTGTCAGTGCTATTGACCACTTTACAGATGCCAGGTTACATAACTTGCCCAAGGTCACAAAACAATGGAGGGAGAAATCTGATTGAGCCCACACTGCTCCAATTCTGAGCCCACTACCTTTTGTGCAAAAGGGCCAGTGTAGATAGCTCAGATTTGTTTTGTGCAAAAAAGCCCCGATTGCGAAAATGGCGATCGGGGCTTTTTTGCGCAAAAGCGCGTCTAGATTGGCCACGGACGCTTTTTCGCAAAAAGGGCTTTTGCGGAAAAGCATCCTGCCAATCTAGATGGGCTTTTCCGAAAATGCTTTTAATGGAAAACTTTTCCGTTAAAAGCATTTTCAGAAAATCGTGCCAGTGTAGACGTAGCCGGGGTGTCTAACAGAGAGGTTTGCAGGCCAGGTCAAACTAAGCTGATGGACACTAGATTGGCCACGGACGCTTTTTCGCAAAAAGGGCTTTTGCGGAAAAGCATCCTGCCAATCTAGATGGGCTTTTCCGAAAATGCTTTTAATGGAAAACTTTTCCGTTAAAAGCATTTTCAGAAAATCGTGCCAGTGTAGACGTAGCCGGGGTGTCTAACAGAGAGGTTTGCAGGCCAGGTCAAACTAAGCTGATGGACAAAAATGTGGACTGCCCACTAGGGATGTTAATGTGTAGTTGACTATACAGTTAACCAATAAGCCTGGGCTTATTGGTTAATCTTGTCAACTACATGCATACCCCACACCCTGCACCTGCCGCCTTTATATCAGAGGCAGCTGGGAGGAAGGGAGGGAGGGAAGGAAGGAGGTGGGAGCAGGAGCCAGTGCTAGGGGGAACCAGCTTAAAGGCCAATCTCCCTCAATACCAGCTCTGTGGTGCCACTTGCTTCCCAT